AACTCCTAGAAGATAACATAGGAGAAAATCTAGATGACCTTGGGTATGCTGGTGACTTTTAAGATACAACAACAAAGGTACAATTAGTGAGAGAAATAATTCATAAGCTGGATTTCATTAAAATTAAAAGACTTCTGGTCTGTGGGAGACAATGACAAGAGAATGAGACAACACGCCACAGACTTGGAGAAAATATTTGCAAAGGACACATCTGATAAAAGACTGTACTCAAAATGTACAAAGAGCTCTTAAAATTCAACAAGAATATGAAGGACCTGGTTTAAAATTGGGCCAAAGACCTTAAAAGACACCGCAACAAAGATGATGTACAGATGGTAAGTGAACATGAAAAGAGGCTCTATCACACTTCCTGATTTCAAACTAGACTACGAAGCAACAGTAATCAAAATGGTATGGCCCTGGCATAAAAACAGACACATAGGCCAGTGGAACATAACTGAGTGACCAAAAATAACCCCATGCAAATATGGTCAACTAATATTTGACAAAGGAGCTAAGAATACTCAATGGGGAAATGATAGTCTCTTCAATAAAGGCGGTGGGGAAACTGGGAAAAGATGCTCTAAATGACACCACCCTTAACACTGAGTCAAAATGGATCAAAGGCAAATGTGCCTGGCCCGCGTGTCTCAGTGGTTGAGTGTCAAGCCATGCACCAAGAGGTTGCCATTTTGATTCCCAATCAGGGCACATGCCCAGGTTATAAGCTCAACCCCCAGTGGGGGCCATGTGGGAGGCAGCTGATCGATGTTTCTCTTTCATCAATGTTTCTATCTCTCTTTCTCTCCTTTCCTCTCTCTTTAAAAATCAATAAAAAGATATATTTTTTAAAAAGACTTAAATGTAGTACCTGAAACCAGGCAACTCCTAAAAGAAAACATAGAGGAAACTCCTCGGTGTTGGTCTCGGCAATAATTTTTTTGGACATGACATCAAAAAGGGTGTCATGTGATCTGATAAGGGGTTAAAACCCAAAATAACTAAGGAACTCATACAATCCAAAAGCAAAGTAATAACAAGAATCCAATTTAAAAATGTACAAAGGACCTACATAGACATTTTTCCAAAAAATACATACAAAGGCCAACAGGTACATGAAAAGTGCTCCACATACCCTCAGTGATTAGCACGTCAGCCCACGGACTGAAAGGTCCCGGGTTCAATTCCGGTCAAGGGCATGCGCCTTAGTTGCAGGCTCAGCCCCTGCAGGGGCACGTGTGGGAGGCAGCCAATTGATGTCTCTCTCACATCGATGTTTCTTTCCCTCTCCCTCTTCCTTCCACTCTCTCTGAAAAGCAATGGAAAAAATATCCTCCAGTTAGGATTAAAACAAAAAAAGTGCTCAGCATCACTAATCAACAGGGAAATCAAGTCAAAACCCGGTGAGATATCACCTCACACCTGTCAGAATGGCCACCATCAATAAGTGAACACACAGGTGCTGGCGAGGACGTGGGGGGAAGGGAGCCCTCGTGCACTGCAGGTGGGGATGCAGACGGGTGCAGCCGCTGTGGAAGGCAGTGGGGGGGGGGTCCCCAGAAATGAAAAGTAGAACTGCCAGTGACCCAGCAGCCCTGCTCTGCGTACTTACTTGGAAGGCAATGACATCACTGTCTCACAGAGATGCCTGCACCCCCGTGCTCATTGCAGCATTGTTCACAACAGCCAAGGCATTGAAGCAACCGAGGTGTCCATTAAAGGATGAAGGGAGAAAGAAAAAGCGAGCAACTCATATTTACATACTCAGCTGTGGGACCTTGACCAAGGGACTGACCTCTCTGAGATGATAGCACGTCATCGTGAGGATTAAATGAACTGAGGTGCATAAGCACTTAACGCAGTTTCTACACGTAACCAGTAGCTGTCATTGTCTCTCGAGAGGTTGGTACTGAGGTCTGTCAGGTGTGGGGTGAGAATGACGTCTCCTGGCAATGAACTGAGGCCATTTAAATAACAAACAAAACCACAAGGCAGACAGACACACAAACCAGTCCGCCTGCTGGCCTCGAAGAACAGGTGGGCTCTGAGAAGGTCCTCTCCCTCCCCCCTCTGGCAACACCCTTCTCTCTTCCTGGGCCTGTCAGGAACTGTGAACTCCATGAGGTCAGGGACCACTGTCCTGCAGAGCCCCGGTCCCCTTGCTGGAGGACTCCAAATACAGTCGTGATGACTCAGAGAAAGACACAGGGAAGGGTGGGGTGTCAGAGCTGGAAAGGGGGGATGCGGTTGCAGTGGGGAATGAGGTAGGCCTGGACCTTGTGACGCTCACCCAAGAGCCCATCATGTGAGCCTTCATTTCAAAAATGAGGAAAGTGGGGCCCAGACGGGAGACTGAGTCAGGCTGCCACACTCGATCCTGAGATGCTATATCCTGCCGGCCTCTGCTTCTGGCTGGATCTGCGCAAAGTGACCGGCAGGGCCGCTCTCCTTAACTTCTGTAAGACTTTGTCAGAGAGGTTTGGCAGCTGGTCAGAAAATAATTGCCCCCCAACATTATAAGGAGCATTCTGTTCAATCACTTAGTCACCTGCTCATTCACCACTGAAGGGCATTAACACCAACTGACCTTCCAGTAGGTTAAGAAAAATAAGAAAAATGCAACCCTTTTATGCTGTTAAGAGGAAAAACTAACACACAGCACAGTGCTTCAGCACCCTCTCATCCCCAGAAAACCAGTGAGGACACGGCCATGAATACACACAGGAGCAGACTATTTCTAGAAGAACAAAAAAAGCAACAAAAAACTGGTAAAACTGGCTGCCCTGGGAGGCAGAGGAGGGTCTGGGAGAGGAGGGAGATTTACTTTCATTCTAAATCTTTTTTTTTATATAAGTTGCAAGATTTTCTGTGAATTACTTTTCCAATTAAAACATTATAAAGGCCCGGCCGGTGTGGCTTTGTGTTGAGCGTCAACCCCTGAACCAGGAGGTCACAGTTCATTTTCGACTCCTGGTCAGGGCACAGGGGGTGGGGGCGTGCAGGAGGCAGCCGATCGATGGCAACTCTCTCGTCATTGATGTTTCTCTCTCTCTCCTGTCCCTTCCTCTCTGAAATCAATAAAACATATTTGGGGGAAAAACACAAAGCACTTTCTAAAGGTTAGGGGAAATGAGAGTGAGCAGTAAGGGAACAACACCTTCTTTGCGTTTGGACAAGTTCTCTGCAAATGTCCTGTAAAAGAGGCCAGAACTGTGACGGGAACAAGGCCCTTTGGAAATTCCAGCGGTTGACCTGCATTTAGGCCCCTAATGGAGCAGCTTCTCGCCACAGCTGCGGGGGCTCCGCCACTCAAGTTAAACAAAACAGCCGATGCTCCCCACCGTTCTCACAATTCCCTCTGCGTCCGTTTGCATCCAGGTGACAAGGTGGAAGCGCCCGGCAAAGCACAGCACCCTTTGAGACACAGTCACAGTAAAACGGTGGCTTCAGGGCCAGGCAGGCACCTCGCTCCTCTTTCTGAAGATACAACTTGGAAATGTGTATATTTAAAACCTTTTAAAAGTGAGCCCCCATCCACCCCAGCTCTGGGAACTTATCACAGCCCGATAGCCAGCAAGAACACAAGACCGGTTACACATGCACACATTAGGGCACATTCCTATGATGGAATATTATACAGCCACGACCAAGAGAAACGGGGTCCGTGTTCATTGACACACACTGAATTGTTCGGTGGAAAACTAGACAACAAACTAGAGTGAAGACTTATATGCACCAGGGGCTATTCTTAGTGCTTTTTACATATAGTAATTAATTTCATTTCATAGTATAACTTTATGAAGTGAGTACTTTTATTGTCCCCATCTTGTAGATGAAGAAGGTGAAGCCAAGAGAGCTAAAGTGACCTGCCAAGGTCATGTCGCTGCCAAGTGGTGGATCAGGGGTCAGTGCCCAGGCCGTGTGGCTCCAGCCCGTGTTCCTAATCAATGGGGAATTTTCAAGGAGAGCCGCCCAGCGATTAACGCTGATTATGGGATTGCAATTTAAGCTTTCATTTTCTGCATGAATGACATGTAGGAAATCAATCTACTCTTATTTTGGTGTTAAATATATATTCCTTTGATTTAAGAATTCTATTTCTCATGACTTATCCTCAGGAAATTTTCAAAGAGATGCCAGCAAAGACTCATGAAGAAAGATATTTATCCCCAGATAACCCTAATAACAGGAAATTAGAACCAACGAAATGTCCACCCAGGGACTGGTTGAGGGAAATGTGCTGTCGACATCTGGTAAGAGAATAGGTATCGACAGGGCAAGCTGGTCCTGCTCTATTGAGGAGTGAAAGAAACTGAGCCGCATTTGGAAAATAAAGCCATAAATGCGCGACGAAAAGTGTGGAAAGAAACAAGGAGGCTCCGGCAGCTACCTCGGGGTGTTGAGAGTGTCTTTTTTATTTGTGATAGTTCTTAATCTTCCAAGTTTTCTGCCTTAAGCATATATTGTTCCTATAATAGTAAAAAGTGTTATTTTATAAAGTGGCTGTCACTATTACCCTGCTAGAGTGTCTGATCTGAGGCGACAGAATCCCCAGGGTGACAGTGCCCTGCACTGTGATTCTCAGGAGAGACAATGCAGGGTTCTACTAGTTTCTACCAGCAAAAAAAAAACAAAACCCTCCCATTAAATTAATTTCTACCTCAACAGGCAGCCTCAGCCAGAGGACTGGCAGGAGAGCTCAAGGCGCAGAGACGCAAAGGTGTCTCTTAGGGGAGTCCCTTCAACATCTCCCCGGCCGCCGCAAGCCAGCCAGGCAGCCCCCCTCCAGCCCGACAGTAAGGGGAGTGTAAAGGTCGATCAAATAAGGTTACGCAATTCAAACATTTACTTTTCAAACATCTTCAGAAAGTTTATCATACACAAACAAGCACAGGAGAGAGAAGAGGGTTCCAAGTTCAAACCAACACGTGTGCCCAGCGGCCCCAGGGAAGGGGAGCATCTCACAGGGAGTCCAGCCGAGCCGGGCAAGGCCGAAGAGCATGGCTGGTGCGACAGGCTCGGTGGATTTGGGGGGACGGAGTGGCTATGAGAACTTCTGTGGAATAAGTATGACCAGAGTCATCACCAAAAAGGGTAAGATGCCAAATGAGCATGGGAGTAGCCTGCGCTGGGAAAATAATTGAAGGAAAACCTCAATGTGTCCAAAATAGCCCATGAGCAGCCCATGCAATGCATTTCAGCAAACACTCGGTGCTATAGCAAGTAAGGCAGATTTTAAGGAAAAGCGCAGAAAAATACACCAACAATGCTTCTTTGCAATCTTAATGGACAGTTCTGATTTCTTGTCTTTCTTTTATTTTTCCAAAACATGTGCCCATAGGGAAAGAGAATTACCCCAGCTCTGTCATGAGCAGAGAAACCAGGACGTGTTCGTTGAGCATCTACTATGTGCACGTGGCAGGACACTGGAGGGCAGCAAATCTCCGGGCTCCCTAGGATGCAGGGCCCCAGGTCTATCACGGGAAGAGAGTTCAAAGGCTAACTGGTGTGACTGGACAAAGCCATGTGACAAGTGTGGACTAGGGACCCGCTGGGTTCCAGGCACAAAAAGGCAGCAAGCACAGTCCACCGGGGAGAGAGACAGGGGGATCCTGCCGGCATCGAGGAGACAAATGCGGTCACTGAGGGCATTCTAGGAACAACAGAAAGTGGGGGGGAGTGTGGCCTCTGGAAACGGCCTCCGAGAGGATGGAGCACTGAGCTGAGTCTGGAGAGGTGAGAAGGAATTCAGGGGTGCACTAAGGACTAAGGGGGTGGGGGGAAGGAGGAAGCCATAACACAGGACTCACGCGGACAGAGGTAAGACGAGGCCTGAGAGGTGAACTTGAGCACGGAGGTCCCTGTAAGCTGGGTTTAGCCCATGGCCAGAGCTTCTCAGCAAGTTCGCATGCACACGCACACACGCGCACAAGCACACACTATGAAAGGAACACTGCTAAACAGTTACAGCCCTGTCACTTTGCATGTTCTCTTGGCACCGAAGCAAACCAAGCAGAAGTGCAGGCACTGAAATCTCACGACAGGCTCAGTTGTAAAGCAATGACACAGATAATCCGCTATAAGCTTATATTAAAAATGCCTTGAAGATTATCATGAAAACTGAAATAAAAAAATCAAAAGATCCTTGTAGAACCCACAGTCACCTTGATACAGTTTTGAAGACCCCCCCAGGGGCCTGTGTCCCTAATTCAAAAAACGCTCCTATGGGCAATGAAAGGTTTTAAGTACATGCTTGGGGTAGGGGAAATCGCAAGGAGGACTGGATTAGATTTACGTTTCCAGAACACTGAGTCAGTGGTATAGAAAACGATGCTGCTGGCAGTCAGGAGGGCCTGGGGCAGGGGCACGGAAGGAGTGACTGCAGAGGACCAGGCACACAGTGGCTCAGGCCTGGGAGCCCATGAGAATGGAGGGGAGAGGCTGCATTTACAGGATATTGTCTCGTTCAGGCCAGGAGCTCCGTGCTTTGGAGATTCTGAGGAATGAGAGTGGGTCCCTGCCCTCTGGGAACATGGAGACCTAAGACCTAAGCCTCACCAAAGAAAAGATTTAATAAATCATCCCTCCAAGCCACCTAGATGTCCACAGAGGGGCATATTGATAAAGAAAATGTGGTATAGGCCTGGCCGGTTTTGCTCAGTGGTTAGAGCTCAGTTGGCCCATGGACTGAAGGGTCCCGGGTGTGAGTCCGGCCAAGAGCACATACCTTGGTTGCAGGCCCCTCCCCAGCCCCAGTCAGGGCCCGTGCAGGAGGCAGCCAATCGATGTGTCTCCCTCACATCGATGTTTCTCTCTGTCTCCCTTCCACTCTCTCTGAAATGCAACGGGAAAAATACCCTCAGATGAGGATTACAATTTTTTTTAAAAAAAAGGAAAATGTGGTATAGACATACATATTTTTCTCTTAAAAAGAAAAAAACCCTGCCCTGGCCAGCGTGGCTTGGTTGGCTGAGGGTCGTCCCATGCAGCAGGAGGTTGCAGGTTCAATTCCCGGCCAGGACACATGCCCAGGTTGCGGGCTTGATTCCCAGTCAAGGTGCGTAAGGGAGGCAACCAATTGATGTTTCTCTCTCTAAAAAAAAAAAAGCCTGGAAAAATTAAGACAACCAATGATCTGCAGGCACCCGCTGCTGAGGCCCTCGAGCTGCACACAGAACTCGGGCGATTCAAGGAAGATCTTTGTTTTTTCTGACCTAGAGGTTTCTACAATCACAGAGAAACGGGATGCTAGCCAGGCTCACTGTGGCGGTCATTACTCAGCATAAACAAACGTCGACCGCGCTGTGCACCTGTGACTAATGTAAGGCTGTATGTCAACTACATCTCAAAGAAACAGAATTGTTGTTTTAAGTGTGTGGGTTCCCTCTCTACCCCGAGAAAATGAGCACAATAAAAATGTACAAAAATAAAACATTCTACATCTTATAAAATGAACAATTTCTTTGAAGCTCTACCATGGTCCTATAACTTCAGCTACTTTTTCCTACTGGGGACACGTGATTTTTTTTTCTCTCACCTACTTAACTCAAAACAAGAAAACTGAAAAGTCACCTCTTTAAGGACTTTGCTTGTAAGTGGAAGGCTCTTTAAAATCTTCAAGATTAGGAACTGCTATTCAAGTTTACCATGTGCTTAAAAGTAATCCTAAAAAATGTCTCAATGAACAAAAATCTGAACCTTAGACTCAGAAAAACTAAGCTGACTGGGCACTTGAACTATCTCTGCAGGTCCGTCTATGTGGAGAAGTCACCCTATTCAAATAGTAGAATGCTGGTTCGAAGGAAAATTCAGCTTCAGGAGCAGCACTTGAGTCTATAAAGGTTAAACATTAAAATAGCGCATACCCATCAGGACCATGGCTAAAGCCGGTAGCTTTGCACTCAGAGGTGGAGTCTCTGGACTAAAATTAAAAATTCTTAGTTTTCTTTCATACATGAAAAAGATTTTCCAGACTTTAAAATAGGGAAGGAAAGGGGCAATGCCAAAGGGGCAACACTTTCCAGCTGCCCTTTCCTGGTCCTTGAGTCGCAGGGATGAGCAATTCTAACTCATCCCTGCGCAAATGTTCCCCCTCATTCCGCAGGAAGAGATGCCGAACCCCCGCGGGGACAGACCGGGTAGCTGCGGGGCGCCGGGCCAGGAAGCCACCCGCCAGCCCGCCAGCCCGCGGAGACACTCCCGCAAGGCCCTGCTGCTCCTGGTCGTCAAAAAGTCTCCGTGTCCATTAGCCAGCGGCACCACGACATCCTCCAGGGGCAGGTGGCCATACACTAGGGACAAGAAAGGGCCTGCTTCACACCCAGTGGGTGCCTGGTGTCGTTTCGAGACGCATTTACAAAAGGACCAGGAAAAATGATCAGAAAATAACAGCCCGTCTAGCTCCATGTTGCTTAAACCGTCTCGGGCTTCAGGACAGATGTTACCGTCCGCTGATGCACGAGACGGGACCCTCAACAGCAGGTGCCCTGTCGGATTTCAAAAGCAAACATTACATTCTGCTTCGAAATCATAACATGTGGCAGCTCGGCATACCGTTTCCATGCAAACCCACACACCTTCGATCACAACTGGGCAGCTTCGTGTTAAGCTGGTGAGAGAGGGAGGGGAGAGAAGAGGAGGGGAGGACACAGAGAGAGACGGGCGGCCTGTGTGCGCATGCAAACTCTTATGGCTAAACAAACCAGCCTGCTAAAAAGACAGGAGTGCAACTTCAATCCTGGCGAGCTACTGGAAATTTTTTTAAAAAAACGAACCTAAAAGTGAAGGTGTTTTATTTTGGCCCCAGGAATCAAGGGTACAACCTTGATGGGCGTGGTGCGCAGGAGAAACCACCAGGGCTGAATGCAGCCTCCAGGGAGCAGAGTGGGGGACAGAAAAGAGTGACTTGGGGCTGCTGTTTCGCTATAAACCTTTGGGTGTTGACCTTTTAATTTCATACATGCAATGCTCGGATAAAAGGCAGGCAGACGGACAGACATGCAATACGGGGCTGCTAGGCTGTCACTGTGGCTTGCGGAGCAGCCCACGTTTTCCACCTGGCTCTGCTGCCTTCAGCTCAGGCCTGTGGGATCGTGAACTGTCCAGTTCAAGCCAGGGGTGCTCCGGGCCCTAAATATTACACATGCAATCAATCCTGGTCACCAAGAGCAGCTTTTCCATAACTTAACGGCTGTAGCCGAGGCCTAGGTGTCTTCTGATCTCTACTAGGTTATCCACTGAGAATCAGACTTAATAAAAGTTCAATTTTAGATGGGGGATCCCTACCCTGTCTTGCTATATATCATCAGCTTCTGAACAAATGTAGGACCCAAGGGGAACTCTGGAGCTACAATGGAGGTTATAGTATTTGGCTAAGTCGTAAGCTGTGTTTATTAAGGTTACATTTAGGAAGAGATATGAATATATATTTGCCTTCAGGTGCTGAAGTTTCATTGCTTGATGATTTTAAATGTTTGTCTCGGCACAGCAGCAGCTCTACACACTGAATAATGCTGCTTGCAAAATGTTGGCTATCAAGCATTGTGACAGGGAGCAGCTAGTGCGGGCTTCGCTCAAACAGATGTAGCTTATGAGAGAAAACAGTGTTCTTTTTACTTCTGAACTGAGTTCACTAATTTTTTGCTTTTTTTTTTTAATATATCTTTATTGATTTCAGAGAGAGGAAAGGAGAGGGAGAGAGAGAGATAGAAACATCAGTGATGAGAGAGTCACTGATCAAGCCCATAACCAGGCATGTGCCCTGACCCGGGGATCGAACCCCGATCGCCTGGATCCCAGGTCGACACTCAACCGCCGAGCCACGCCCGGCCGGGCTGAGTTCGCTAATTAAATTCACGGATGAGAAATGAAACATGTACCTATTCATACTATTCTGGACATGGAAAGGAACCTATCTTCCGAACTTGTAACATGTTAAAAACTGGTTCGGTGTTTTTTTGAAGACATGCTAGGTTTTTAAAAAGTATTTTCATATTTGACAAATTATTCAACCTACTTACTTCGGTGATCATTTCCTCAACAATCTTGCATGAACGTAAAAACTTAAGTTTAAGATGTGTTTAGTCCTTTGAACA